CTACGGAACACCCCCAAAATATAATAAAAATAATAAATAAATATTTCAGTTACAGGTTGTCTTATAGATTGCTCGTGACCGCGAAATTTCGAAAGTTGCATTGTGCAAATGTAACAGACCTGGATTCACACATTGCTTCCTTTGCTGTGGCCATAAAGTATACGAAAGACGCGTACGGGGAAGCCTCCGGGAAGCCTCAAAATTTTTGTTCTTTCCCCTCTGCCATTTTGTTCAGCCCATTCTTCCGTGGGTTTGTGAACTCGTTCCAGGCTTCACAATTTGCTCAGCGGAATAACAGATACAACTAAGAATAAACAGCCTAAGGATAAATCTTCCATAGCCAGATTGACCCACGAATGGAAGGTAAGAACTTTCCCTCTTACTATCGGCATCTCCTTACGCTGAAAATAGCTTTTAAACATTTTTTTTTGGAAGGGGGGATGGCGTGTTAAAAACCCAAGTCTGTTACATTTGCACAGTGTAACACTCGAAAAATCACCAACACGAGTCTGAATGTCGAGGAAAAGGTTGTTGTTATTCATCGTGGTGGATGCAATAATAAAGTGTATTATCGTTTGTCTCACGATGTAGTCACTNTGAGATGTAGATCGCGACGTTTCGACTGCTTACTGCTAGTCTTCTTCAGGCGATAAGGTCGACTGATTGCACAAGTCTGAATCTTTTAGACAACCCGTAAGTAAAATCTTTATTTATTATTTTTACACTATTTTAGGGTAGTCCTTATACGGGGTCCGTAGGGGTAGTCCATGGACCGGTCCGTAGGGTAGTCCGCGGACCCGGGGGTCAGTGTTTTCGGGTTACCCATATTATACCCTTATTTATCCATACTTAAACTATAGTCTTGCCAGCTGGGGTGCTGCTTACAAAACTAGATTAAATAAGATCTGCACTAAGCANATATGCTCAAACAGTTATATTATACGGGTAACCCGAAAACACTGACCCCCGGTCCGCGGACCCCCACTACGGACCCCCTCTACGGAACACCCCCCAAAATATAAAAAAATAAATAAATAAATAAATAAATAAATATTTCAGTTACGGGTTGTCTTATAGATTGCTCGTGATGACGAAATTTCGAAAGTTGCATTGTGCAAATGTAACAGACCTGGATTCACACATTGCTTCCTTTGCTGTGGCCATAAAGTATACGAAAGACGCGTACGGGGAAGCCTCCGGGAAGCCTCAAAATTTTTGTTCTTTCCCCTCTGCCATTTTGTTCAGCCCATTCTCCCGTGGGTTTGTGAACTCGTTCCAGGCTTCACAATTTGCTCAGCGGAATAACAGATGCAACTAAGAATAAACAGCCTAAGAATATATCTTCCATAGCCAGATTGACCCACGAATGGAAGGTAAGAACTTTCCCTCTTATTAATGGCATCTCCTTACGCTGAAAACAGCTTTTAAACATTTTTTTTGGAAGGGGGGATGGCGTGTTAAAAACCCAAGTCTGTTACATTTGTACAGTGTAACACTCGAAAAATCACCAACACGAGTCTGAATCTTTTAGACAACCCGTAAGTAAAATCTTTATTTATCATTTTTACACTATTTTAGGGTGGTCCTTAGACGGGGTCCGTAGGGGTAGTCCATGGACCGGTCCGTAGGGTAGTCCGCGGACCCGGTCCGTTGTGGGGGTCCGCCGACCGGGGGTCAGTGTTTTCGGGTTACCCATATTATACCCTTATTTATCCATACTTAAACTATAGTCTTGCCAGCTGGGGTGCTGCTTACAAAACTAGATTAAATAAGATCTGCACTAAGCAGAATAAATGTATACAAAGCATGTTAGTTGCTCATGGCAGAGAACATGTCAACCCATATTATAATCTTCTTGGAATTTTGAAATTTGAAAATATTTA